CAACTGTGTAATTGAAATGGCTAAACTGACAGGTTACTGCTCTGCCACAATCAGATATGATTTCTGACTCATAGAAACTGTTGTTTCCTGTCAAACGTTGCTGAGCTGTCTTTTGTATCCAGAGACTCTGTGAAAATTAGGCCTCTTTGAGGCTGCAAACAGAAGAAGAAGATAAGCTGTCAGGTGTAAGGCGCATTGCAATGCTGAGTGTGTATGTATACATTATAAATGTTAATATAAATAAACAAGGTGGGTTCACTTGACTTAAACTGTGAAAATGAAAGCTTCCAGTAAATGACGATAACAAGACGTCAATTATTACTGTTTATATTATGGTTTTATATTTGTAAAACTTTCGCAGAGCCTAGAAAAGCATTGCAAGGGAGAGAACACTAATATGCATGTGCAGCAGGTAGCCGAAGCAAAGCAGGAAGTGGAAATTTGTTCCTGGTTTATGCCATGGATGTATAATAAGCACTGAGCAAACAATTATTATTCAAGTGAATGGCCGCCATTTTGGATTCTAGTATCCAGTTCTTATAAAACATCTCTAAGGAAGGAAAACATTGAATTTAATTACAAAATATCACAGCTATCCATGTGGTAGATAAACCGCTGGTGGCACTAGATGTAAAGTCGGGGGTTACCAGATATTGTATTTATTTATCATCTGCCTGAAGTGGATATCTGCACACAGTTAAAAATAAATTCATCCAATATTTGTTTAGATGTTTTAACTATTTATTTAAAGTCAGAGTCTTCTTCTTACCCTGGGAGAGTAGATCAAATCATGACAAAAGGACACTTTTCTGTGCAGTTTTAAAGACCTATGATGAGCATGTCTCCCCTGTCATGCCGTCATCTGGCCACCATTGTCACCCCGCTGACTCCTTCGACCTAATGCAGTGCAGCGTTCCACTACATCAATTCACAGCTTCCACACCCTCTGAAATGCATTTGATTAGTCACCACAGCACAGCAACGGGGACATAAATAATTCATCTGTGCAAATGACAAATGAGGCAATCAATCCTGGGACAGCATTCAAAGAGAAACTATTCAAATCCCCTCTAAATTCATTTTCTGTCTTTTTGTAGTTGTGGAAATTTGAATGCTGAATTCCCCAGATTATGTTTCCACCCTGATTTCCACAAACTACACCATTTTGTTTCAGAAAACGTTTTCCAATTAAAGACATAACTCACTATAGTGCCTTTGATAGTTTTCTCCGACCAGCAGTACAAGTCTCATCACACCCAGCTGCACTAAATGCTGGACATCAGAGCCTGAACTGCACAGGGAACAGCCGGCTCTTTGAAACAGGACATTAAAGAATGAATAGAAGATAAGGAGGGCTGGTCTAATTTCATATTCCATCTGACAGCAGATACACTTTCCATTAATGCAAAACCCTTTTGGATGAGCTGAGCTCCTCTGTGTGGGATGAGATCACACTTTACTCTGACCTGTGAGACTCAGAGAACAAAGAAATCTGATGTATAATCTGGCCACAATTATTCTGTCCGTCCATTTTAGCCTGAGTGATGATAGGGAGCCTGACAGCTCAATCACAGAGAAGGCAAATTAGGTACAAAGACAAGTACAAATACATCCAAATCTAGTATCAACTACAATGATTGAATATGAATGACTTCAAAACACATTATGTCTGGTTAACATTAGCTTCCAACCTTTACAAGCAAAGTTAAGTTAAAAATAACAAAACCCTCTGAACCTGTATCTATACCAACAAGAAAAAGGCTACATTTATACTGTATGTGTTTGGTGCTGAAAATGTACAATTAACATATTGTTGAGATACTGAATGAAGTTAAAGTTTAAGTGGCAGTTGAGTTATAATTACTGAAAGAGGTTGACACGGCATTTAAATGGAAGGTCTAAAAGAAGCAGAAATGTCGGCCTAAGTGTGTGAGTGCCGAGTGAAGTGGAAACAACCTTTAAATACAAAGACAAAATAGGTGTTTCTGCACGCTCTCACAGACGCAAGTCACAGATACAGAAGAGATTTCTGACGCCTTGATCAGGAGGCAACATTCATTCTCTGGGCCTTCCAAAATGATAAAAATGAGGGCAAACACTGCAACAGCAAAATGTGACAGCACTAGGGTTAATGAAGGTGAGGTTTTGGAACCAAAAAAAAGCGATCTGTTATGGTCAGAGAAACAGAATAAATGTATTTGTATGTATATTTAGAAATATTAAAGATATATACAACAGCAAAATGTTTACATTGAGCTGTTAAGGAATTTCCATTATTGGGCTGCTACTGTAGTTATCTCTTCAACAGGCAACTATATCCTTACCTCCAACCATGGAGGTATGACACAATGTTTGTGAACAGCACTCATGTGGTAGAAAACATCAACTCAAGATCAACATTGGGAAAAGCTGCCAAATCCATGAGACTCTGTGGAGCACACACAATATCAAGCAACAAACATATTGCTATAGCAGCTGTCAGTCCTGTTGTCAGAGCAACAGGCCCCCATCCGACAGAAGCCTCCATCTTGCACTCCTTTGAAGGAAAACACTTGAAGAACATGTAAAGGTGGTGGATGTACCGTCTGACACAAACAAGGCCAAAAGGCAGAGAACTCTGTCATGCTGACGTGTCTGAGCACTTCACTTAACTCTGAACTGCCGGCAAACTTTTTTTTTGTCTTGGGAAGATAATCGGCACTCTATCCACGGCAGAGGTTCCCGCTCATCCATCACCTCCCAATGCTGTGTTCCTGACTAACAGGAAAAGACTGACTGCGGGCTAACAATCTTTCACTCCAGCCTACATACGACTGGACTGAGGAGAAAGCATTGGCCTTTTGCTGAATTACCTTCCCTTTAATCAATGACACCACGTCTGAGAAAATGTCTCCAGGAAAGTGGCGGGGGGGACTTTGTATCCATCATGCACGTCCGCCATGTTGCTAATAGATGACCTAAATGCATCACTGTGTCAAGAATCATCTGACATTCATCAAGATGTAGAAGGGATATAAATAAAAGGACAAATGAGAGCAACACTATAAACATGAGTTATCATCTCATCTGAAGCAGAGCAGAGAGACGAATAGATTTGAATATATATTTTTAAAGATAACTAAAAGACACATGCTTTTTACCCTTAAGACAAAGAGTGCATCAATCACCTACATTCAGGTTATTTGACAGAAACAAATCTCACATTGAGTTTGAGGATTGACTGAGGAAAAACGCTGCTTTCACTTGTTCATAAAATTACTGATGAGGATGCCAACGTTTTCCCAAAGACGTAAAACCATAGAAATCAGCAAATGTTTGGCAGGTTTGTGTTCTCAGTATTATTGTTGTTTTAACAGACCAAAAGTACCAACATACAGTGGAGGAAATATGTATTTGATCCCTTGCAGATTTCGTAAGTTTGCCCAAATGAACAGTCTATAACAGGGGTGTCCAAACTACGGCCCGGGGGCCAAATGTGGCCCACGGACCATTTTGAATCAGCCCTCAGCAAATTATAATAAAAAAAGTATAATGGAATATGGCCCACAAATGAAACTTGTGCTTGTGTTATATTGTACTTCTTAAATATAAATGTAAACATATATTACACAGTAGTATTCATTTGTTAATAAGACCACTTTTCAAATCAATTCAGTCAATTCAAGTTGGAAACATTTTCTAACATATCTTAGTTAATAAGAAAAAAGTCCAATGACTTATTTACATAACAAGCTTGAAATACACCCTTCCTATTTCTCCTTATTATAATCAATCTGAGGCTTCTGTTTTAAGGGATGAGCTGCCAACACTCACAAGCATCATTTACCTACATTTGATTTTGCTAACTTATAACTGAACTCATGAGGTAATATACCTCTAGTGCAGGGGTCGGCAACCTTTTTGATATGAAGTGCCATTCTAAAAAAATGTTTTTATCAGCGTGCCGACAGGGGGGGGGGGGTGTTGAAGAGCTCGACGAAAACACTCGTGAAAAGTGATGTTTAAAACTCAGTTAATGGGGCTCATTCACTGGCGCTTCCACAAACAACAACCAACATAATTGTTACATTCAAATGAAGTAGCCTATATTATTCAAGTTTACATTAACTTTGGATAATAACACGGGAGAAATGAGCGGAAGCGCTCTCTTTTCCTCTCTCCCCCTCTCTCTCTCTCCTGACAGCCTGTCAGTATCTCATGCAGCTCACTGATCCAGTAATGAGTGACAGTGAAGAATAAATATATTTATAACTAGTTCCAAAGGTAGATAAACTAGCTAAGTGTGTTAGGTCTAACTCTTGTGTGTTCTGCTCCGCTCACCGGTCCGTCACAGCGGGTGGAGCTGCAGGATTTCTGCTTCACACACGTTGCATACCGCTATTTTATTGTCTTTTTCGGACACCTTAAAATACTGCCAGACTGGTGAAGCGATTTTGGCGAGCTTGTTTTGCCACACACAGAGAAAAGTGTCATGTATGTTACGTCTCGCGATCGGCCTTTTTAAAGAGAGTGGGGCTGCGTTGCGTGCATGGCTTCCTTCTGCAGGTAACGGGGAGACGCGCTCTGGCGGCGGTCTCGTTCAGGATCCGAAAATAAAATAAATATTTTGTACACTTATTCCACTTATTCCTAGTGTGCCACTGGTTACGGTGCCGCGTGCCATTGGTGGCACGCGTGCCAGGGGTTGCCGACCCCTGCTCTAGTGAGTGGCCCAGCCCTTCGTATATTTTTCTGTATGTGGCCCTCGGTGAAAAAAGTTAATTTTAATGGTAGGTTTATTTGAACAGTGAGAGTAAGAATATCAAAAAGAAAATCCAGAAATGTGCATTATATATATAAAAGATAAAAATTGATTTGCATTTAGCTGTGCATAATAAGTATTTGATTCCCAGTGTTGAAGTGATTGTGCTTATCGCAAACGTTTCATTGTAATTCAGGGATCAACATGCTGTGTATTCAACCGTGTCGGTATATCTCAAATTAGAGGGCAGAGGCTGTACCTGAGCGTCCATTAGCAGGTGTCTCATCAGAGTCATGGACTTCCTCAAGGTGTCCCTCTCTCCCGGCATGAAGGACTCGTCCTCATGAGCCAGGCTGCAGGGTCTGGTCACCATGAACTGAGCAATCTGGTCGTTCAGGCTGTTGAGAGACTGCACCGCTGCAATGGAGGAGAAGGACAGTTGTAAAACCACAAATGCTAAGACACAGGAACACAGTATTAATGACAGTCGATCTATTTGTTCCTCTAATGCCATGTGGACCGAGGAGCTCCAAAGTTTGCTTCATCTCTCTCTAGCGGGACTTCCTTCATCAGCGGCCTCAGTGGAGCAGCCTTCATTGTTCTCCTCTTTAGAATAATCCCTCTTTTGGACATTGGGCATCATTAGCCTCAATCCATTACCAAGACACAGTAACTCGGACTAATTCATTATACTGTATAATCCATTTTGGTATGGAGAGAGTCCCAGTGCTAAGGTCTATTGTGTTGGGTTTGTTCAGAGGCTACAGCGACACAATGAGGAGCTCAGAAGTCTCTTTGGTCACAGCCTGTTGGTGATCAAGTACAACAAATTAAAACAAGCCATCGTGGGGGACATTTTGTAAGAGACGTATTAACAAATAGAGTAACGAACATACATAAGAGAGTCACTGCTAATGCTGCAGCTGTCAGTTATTTAGATGCACAATTATTTATTGGATTTTCTTTTCAATTGAAAACAAGCAACTGTCTGATACAGTTATAATAACTCAACACATACAGCCCAACAGATACGTTTATAATAATTATTTTAGATCCACAATTGATTAGTGATTGATTGATTGAATAAAACCTCCATGTTGTTAACTCCCTGAGAGCATGATCACTACTGCAGAAGTAGCTTGCTTAAAGATAGGTGTGACGAGAAGTAGTTACTTGCAGGTAGATTATATATATGTCTTCAGTTGTTGATGGTATAAATCAGGAAATGAAAGCATCAAATCCTCTTTATTGTGAAACAAAAATCAGCAAATATTTGGCAGGTTTGTGTTCTCAGTATTATTGTTGTTTTAGTAGACCAACATAAGTCACCACAGGGAGAGCGTGTTTGGAAGAGGACACTTGCTTCAAGTCAAGCATCACTCTGTTGCTCTCTCACAAACAGACACTAAGAGGCTAAGAGGTCAATTTGAGGCGAGAGTGACGGAGAGACCGAGGCGATGTGACTCACTGACATCATTCAAGGTCGGCTTTTCAGCAGAATGATCAAAGATTTATGGCAACACCTTTCAGTGCCTCTCTTGAACTGCAGCAGCATGCAGAAAGAGGCATGTTTACGAGCAGACTGGGCCCCGCCGCAGGCAGCGCGGCATACATCAAATCAAGGCAGGGTGTGTCGATGGGGGGGAAATAAAATGTTTACAACGGAAGGACGCCGATTGGATTGTAATTTCGCATTCAACATTTACAAGGTGTACCTCTCTGCTCCCAAAGACGGCCAAACACAGATAATGGCACGTTGCAGCTGCTGGAAATGACATGCTGTCAAACTGTGAGAACAGACACACCTCCTCTCATCTCCACTTTCAATTTGTACTGAATGCATTCTGTCACACACTGTGATACATCATGGACATCGTGAGTGGGTTTCTATGATAAAAAAGATACTTTGACTGCCCTGAATGTGTCAACATACAGTACACCACAATCAAAATTCAACAGCTTCATCTCCAAAGAAAAAGCACCACTTGATGCTTAGTTTGTTGAACCCTTTACAAAAACAGATTGCTTCTAACTCGTGACATTACAACCAATACTCAATCTCCAGGCTGCTGACATGACTGATAAGGGTTAGACAGCGTTTCAGCCATGAAAATACATCTGCACATATTTAACACTACCATTTTCACGTTTATTAATATGCTTCTGGTAGAGCAAACCAGATGAGGCGTCAGCGTTGAGATGATTCTCTGCTGAGAATATGTAAGTGAGGAAACATGTATGTTTTCACATCGCTGGTCACATACACAGTGTATAGTATTCAAAATGGCCGGTCGAAGCTGACCTTATGTGAACTGAGAGATAACTATTCCCTTTAACACTCTGGAGTCCAGGTTCATTTTGGTTGATTGATGGCAATCATCCATGCATTCATTCTCTACAGGATATATAAATGAAGCAATGTTATACTGTATGTTGTATGATTGTCTAAAATGTCTCTATCACTGAGTCTTTCATGGATTTCCCACAATGTTTCATGATTTTAATTCTTTCTTAAACCTTTTCTGATGTATAAAAATACTTCATCATCAGATTTCTTCTTTATCTTTTATGTAAAATGTACAATACTTTAAATCAGAGGGATATTGTGTTTTTGTGAAGCGGCCTCCCACACACAGGTGCTGCTGGTGACTGTGAGATGTGGACAGCTCATTACAATATTCACCCACAGGAGCAAAACAACATCAACAATGAACTCTAATGAGGCATGTTGGGGTTTTGTCAGACTCCACAGTACTTGTGAAAGGAGAATATAATGTGCATATAAAAAAAGAAAAATCAGCTCACTCTAAATGCAATCCCTCCTTGGGGAAAAATATCAGTTCCAGTTTCTGTATATGATTGTTTTTAATTTGCGAAATCGTTCAAAATATGAACAAGGGAGGGCTTATGTTTATATTCAGATGCAGTGGAATAGAGTAAAATATATTCAAATGAGCTCAGTCAGCTGTCCCACCAGGAAGTGTGATGAGAGAAAATATTAAAAAGACTCTTTTGCTTCTGCCACGCTTTGGGGACCGACTGTTACAGCCGAAGAGTCACAGCAGCCAGAAATCTTCTGCCAAAGCAATTTCAGGAAGCTCCAAGAACTTCACACTTTGGGCCCGAAAGACCCAGAGTGAGATAAAAGGGTGAGGAAATCTGTGAGAATCTGAGGCAATCCCAAGAGAAAGAGAGTGAGGCTACATTTCAATTACAATGATGGCAGATAAATACACAACACAATCTTGTTAAGGGACAAAAGTCTGCAGTGAACCTAAACCAGCGCAGTAACTCCACAGGGAACGTTCCTTTTGAGGCTTTTGAAAACATGCCGCTGTAAACCGCAACGTTTGTTCAAATGCTGAGATTTGGACGGATCAATTATAGCTTAGCGAAGTTTGCTTTGCATAAAAATAAGTGAATCTCTCTGCGTGTCTGACAGCATCAACATAGGCCTGTAATTTTGCTGTTTGCCTCATTGTTCCGCACTATCTGCAGCAGGGCCCAACACCCGCTGATGCTTTACACGATGCAATTCCCCAGAGAAATTGGACACTTTTCCCCAAAGGAATACCACTCTATCCTGTGCATTACAAGTGTGTTACAGCATGTTCCACAAACCTTTTTCTATCTTTATGTCCGGCATACTACACATTTCACTCCAATGTCACGCTTCCACACTTCCTCAAAATGCATTTAATCTTATCCCTCTGGCTGGTGTCGACTAATTTCCGACGCAAAGCAGATGGAAGCGCTTGTGTGCGAAGAGCTTTGTCCACCTTTATTGGCAAATCTGGGAATATGTGAACATGGGAGTGCATCATTGTGACAGTGGCTTTAAAGAGATTGACCCCCCGTGAAAAAACAAACGACACGGCTCTGGGTTTGTTTGTGTCGTCGTGTTCCCCCAGACTGAGAATTGGAGAAATCACAGAATCTGCCCAAAACAATCAGACAGGCAGGATCTGAGGCAGACTGCCAGTCGTCTCTCCTCGGTCCCCTGCGAGTGAGAGGATCTCTCGAGGAACCATGTATTTCTCATTTCCACAGTCAACACAACGCAATAGGCATGTTTCGGCTTGTTGAGATACTCAACTGTATCTGGTCGGATAAGTTCTTCATCCAGACACTTCCAACCCCAACTCAATCCAGGCAGTTCCTGGGAGTAATACCTCACACGCCTATTGTGAATATTTTGAAGCCGGTTTTAGTGCATGTAAGCAAGCGGAATACAGATGTAAGTACAATAGGCTTTTGGTTGCATTTGTGTTGCCAATAGTACAGCTGCTAAGTCAATAAGCTAAAAGCTGTTTTGAGGCTGTAGGGAAGAAATGTGCACATAATGTTAGGTAACATGCTAATATCAGTGATAATAAGCACATGTCTTGCAGCTGTAATGTTTAAGATTGGTGCGTTCAAAAGCCCATACTACCAGAGTGTTTAGTGTTCCAGATAAATTATCAAGTGTGTCCCAATAAATAGTAAATACATATATAGTCAAATGCAGTATGCCAAAAATATCAGGATGTCCTACTGCAACCTTTTGCGACTATTCTGACCCACAACCTCCTGCACAGCAGATTTATGAGCAGAGCAAGAGGGTCAAAGTTCAAGGTGCAATGTTATGACAAAGTAGTATGTCTCAATTGATTGCACACTGCATGCGACAGTAGATTTACATTCTTTCTAAGGGCAGCTGCATTATGAAAAGATGTCTGAGATTTGGAATGCAGCACATCAATGTCCATACCTAATTTCATCCTAATCTATCCAATAGCTGTTGTGATATTGCCAATTAAACCATAAATGATATCCCATACTGGCACAAGAAGAACACTTAAAAGATCTCTACAGTCATTAGGATTCATCCCAAGGGGACCAACAATGTTTGTACACATCTTACATACATGATTCCTTATCAGACGTGACCTCTATTCATGTATACTATGTGTTGTAAAGAGATATAAGCCGTGTTTCTGTGAATATGACACACATCCAGATGTTGTAATAGCCAGTACAACAGGAGTACCTTATCTTATCTGCAAATAAAATAATGCTTGAAAAACATTTTTATTGTAGTTTTTCAATAACCAGTGTAAACACGTAAATATATGTTTACTGTAAGTTTCAACAGCCATTTCTATTTCAATAGAGACATCTTTTCAACTATGAAGTAATTGAACCTGGTTTCTATGGAAGAGTGAATTGACTTTTTATGCTAATGAGACAGCTGCTTAAAATAATTACCTACTTTGCCAAACAGGTTATTTATTTTTCATTTCTACTATTCAGTTTATGAACAAGTGAAAGATGTTAAAGGTAAGAAAGTAAGGATGTTGACAGCGGACTGCAGGGCAGGAAAGTTTCTGCTCTCCCCGCAGATCCTCTGCACTGCAGCTTCAGCAAGAGACGGAAAA